CGCGACCCCCTTTTCCGTCCCCCCCCGCAGGTACCAGTTCCTAGAAGACGCAGTGAGGAACCAGCGCAAGATGCTGGCGACGCTGGTGAAGCGCCTGGGCGACAAACAAGCCAGCCTGCAGCGCTCCACCAAGGAAGTGCGCAGCTTGTATGTGCCCCACCTGCCCCCCCGCCTCGGGGGAATCGCCTGTCCCCAACGGGGACATTTACCCCCCTCACCCCGTCCCTTCTCTGCCGGCAGCATCCGCCAGGTGACGGACGTGCAGAAGCGGGTGCAGGTGGACGTGAAGATGGCCATCCTCCAGATCATGAAGGAGCTCAACAAGCGTGGCAAGGTGCTGGTGAGCGACGCCCAGGTGAGCCGGGTGGTGACGCGGTGCCAGCGCTTCCCCTGTCACTGTTCCTCTGCCCTGAGGTGGCACTGTCCCCCTCCTCGCAGCGGGTGACGGAGGGGCAGCAGGAGAAGCTGGAGCGGCAGCACTGGGCCATGACCAAGCTGCAGCGGCACCAGGAGCACATCCTCCGCTTCGCCTCCTGGGCCCTGGAGAGTGACAACAGCACCGCTCTGCTGCTCTCCAAGAAGCTGGTGAGCTGCCAAGGGGCCGAAACCCCTTCGCAGACCCCCCTAAACCCCTCACCTTGGGGAGGGAACCCCCCGGCGCGGGTGGCTGGGGACCGTTGGCTCCCCCATCACTGTGACTGCTCTCTGGGACCAGTGGGGAAGCGGGTGCCGGAGAGCGAAGCCAAGCCCTGGGCTTGTGCTGTGTCTTGGCTTGGGATCTGCTTTCCTCTAGGTCCCCTGTTTTGGGGGGATGTGGGGCGAAGCAGGGTCAGAAGACGGTCTCCTGAGGAGTGGTTTGCACCCAGCTCCCCCTCATCCTCCCTAGGGTGCCCCATGTCCCCCGCTGCCTCCCCGTCCGTGTCCCTGTGGCTGCGTGTCCCCAGGGTGCTGCAGTGGGGTCCCTAGGACATGCTGGGTCCCCTGGGGGTCCCCATGCTGTAATGGGAGCCCCCCCTGCCAGGGGGGTATCCACAGCAGGTCCCCTCAGAGTCCCTGTGATGTGACGGGTGCCACCAGGGTGACGCATCGGGTCCCCTTGGGGTCCCTGTGACATCATGGGTGCTGCAGTGGGTCCCATTGCAGTCCCCATGGTGTGATGGGTGCTGCTGCATGTCCCTTCAGGGTCCCAGTGGCATGATGGCTGCCCCTGGGGTGCTGCCATGTGTCCCCTCAGGGTCCCTGTGGCACAGTGGGTGCACCAGAGTGCTGTCATGTGTCCCCCTTGGGTCACCATGATGTGACAGTTGCCCTTGGGATGCTCCCACATGTCCCCTCGGTGCCCCTGTGATGTGACAAGTGTCCCCAGGGTGCTGCCACGCGTCCCCTCAGGGTCCCCACGATATGATGGGTGTCTCTGGGGGGCTGCCACGTGTCCCCTTGGGGTCCTTGTGATGTGACAGGTGCCCTTCGGACACTGTCACATGTCCCCTCGGTGTCCCTGTGATGTGACAGCTGCCTCCGGGGCACTGCCATGTGTCCCCTTGGGGTCTCTGTGATGTGACAAGTGTCCCTGGGGCACTGCCACGTGTCTCCTTGGGGTCCTTGTGATGTGACAGCTGCCCCTGGGGCACTGCCACGTGTCCCTTTGAGGTCCCTGTGATGTGACAACTGTCCCTGGGGCACTGCCAC